AATGAGAGGGCCGAAGAGTCCGAGGAGGGGAGGAGCTTTGGGTTTTGAGGGGACCCAGGAGTGTCCCCGTGCAGACAACAGGGCAGGGAAAAGTGGTGGAGGAGGTGAGAGGAGCAGTCCCGCGTGTGGTAGGTGAGGGCAGAAAGAGGAGAGGACCCAGGCGTCCAAGTAGAGACCAGAGGGATCCCCAGCACTGGGGGACAGGACACCGGCAAATGCCAAGACTGGCGGGTGTCAGGAAAGAGAGGTAAAGTAGGGAGAGAGGAGTAAAGCAGGAGAAAATTCCATGCTGGAGCATGCAGGCCTGTGCCTTAAAATACAAGGCTTCAAAAAAAAAACCCTCAAAAAACAAAAAAACCCCACCACATTCCTTTGTTAATCCCTGTTATTTGAAGTGTTGATGCTTAAAACGTTGAAGTGTTGATGCTTAAAACGTTGATGATTAACGAGCTCCCTAGTGCCCGTGTTTGTGTTCACCTGATGATTCATTAGGGACTCTTGGCGTCTTGGTGAAGCTGGAGTCACCTCCTGAGCCTTCTCCTTGCTGCTTTGTCTCTCTGCCCGTGCCGGCCTACATGTATAAGTGGCCCCTCTTCGAGGAAACCCAAAGTCATTTCTGGAAATAAAATCAGCATTTTATTTTTTATTAGGCTCCCAAAGCAATAATTCAAGTGCCGGTTTTGGCACTGGCAAAACTGTTGCTGTCGTAACCCCCTGGTGGGAAATAGCAAATTAATGGACGCTCTCTCCTTGCCTTTAGGTCTCATAAACGACCATAAAAACGTGCACGGGGATGCTCCGGTGCCGCTGCCCTCTGTGCCACGCTGGAGGAGCCCCCGGCAGCCCGTGTTTGGCCAGCGCGGAGCATTTTCCGATGGGTATTCCCAACAAGCTCTCCGGGATTTCCAGCCGCGCCAGGGAAACTCCTGGAGGAAAAAGTACTCGCTTGTGAACCGACCGCCTGTCACTGGTAGCAGCGACAGAAGCGCTGGCACTTCTCAGGGTTTCCTAAGTGCAGGGGACAGCCAGGAGCCCGAGCCGCGAGCGGCGTCTCCAGAAAGACACGTGGACTTGACCAGGGATGGGAATATCGTGGTTGGGATCCAGCTGCCGCAGAGGACCAGCCTGGCTGCAAATGCCAAAACTTTTGCCCAAGTGAGCTCTCGCCGGGAGGTTTCTGAGTCGAAAAAGGTGGTAGCTGTTCCGGACAGTAATAAAAACCTGCTGAAATACCCGAGCTCTCCGTACATGAGCCAGAAGGATGAGAGGAGGCCCTCGTTCTCGGTTTCTTTTTGTCAGCCTGCAAGCTCAACACACCCCAATGCGCCCATTCTGCTGAGGACGGTGCATCTGTCCAGCGGAGTGGCCCAGGCTGCCAGCGCTGCCTCCCATGGGGCTGGGAGTGAGAGCGCTGTAACGCTCAAGTCAGAGCCGCAGCAGCCTCCGTCTGGGCCTACCCGCGAGCCGGGTCGCCGCTTAGTTTGGAAGAAGCCAGAGCCACCAATTCCCAGACAATCCATCTCTGAGCAGGTCGGGGATGCTGTCCAAGAGCCAAAGCCCCTCGAGGATGCGGAGATTCACCCTAGACCCTCCCTGGTTTTGGCAGCGGGGGCAAACCCAGCAAAGAGTCGGTTTTCGGTACTTGCCAAGGCGCCTGCTCTCCAAAGGACTGCCTCAGCATCAGGCTCCAACAAAGCTCCGAAATTCAGGAAAACCAACTACACATGGGTTGCCAACCCTGGGGGAAAATGTTCCCGCCCGGTGAAAAAGTGGATGAGCCCTCGAGCTTCTGATAGCGCGAGGAAACTCATGGGTGGAACAGACAAAGCGGCGAAGCTGTTGCCGAAAGGAGATTTGGGAGCAAAGCTGAAGAAGTCCGCGCTGCAGCCCAAACTGGGGGGCTCCCCCAATAAATATAAGTGGAAAGCATCCAGCCTGCAGACCTCCCCCTCCACCTCCAAGTCGGTGTTCAGGTGGCAATCTGAGGACCAAAAAAAGTCTGGGGCCTCCAGTGTCCCTCATGCCAGCTCTGTGCCGTCGCATCCAAGCGACACGGCTGTTGGGGAGAAGTTCTCCGTGGGCGATGCTTCCGTTTCTGGTTATAAAGTGAAGAGTCGCACGAAAATCATCAAGAGAAGAGGAAGCTCGTGGTGAGTTGGTGTCTTTGGAGTACAGTTGTTGCACTGGTTTTATTTCACGTCTGTTGGCTTCAACGGGAGGTTTTGTGCCTTTTTAAGTGCTTGTAGCCCTTTGGGGCGAGACAGCTGCGTTGAATAACACAGAAACGATTAATAGCAAGAGAATAATGTGAAATGCATGTAAATTATGGACATACGAGTGCAATTATAATGCCATGGGAGGGTGTATTTTTTCTTTCCAGGTAAGGTGATGTTGCCCTGTGAGTCATCAAGTGGATTTCCTCCTTGTCTCCCATCCCTGCTCTCTGAGCACTTCACCACAGCACTTAGGAGCCTCCCTACCAACCATAATAATGTGCTAATATTCAGAGGGGAGGAAATATCTTTCTTATTGATTTGTTTGCAAACTCGCAGCTCCTTGTTACGTTGGGGGCTGGTGAGAGAAGTGCCTCCAATTGCCGTATCTTTTATCATCAGTCATCATAAAGCACTTGACAGGCTCTGGGATGGAGGTGGGGAGTGTAAATGAATCCTGGGGACTTGTGTGTGCCGGGAAGAGGTGATTCCTGGCTGTAAATCTGCCCTTAGAAGTGAAGAGCTGTGGTGGTGTCGATGATGCTCCCTTCGTACACAGATAAGGGATTGGGACCAGACTTTATTACCACAGCACTGCAGCGAGTTGCACTGTGCTCTGGTGGGAAAGGTGCATTTTGTGCTGCAGTTCTCAGCAGGGTGTCAACGACAGGGCTGGATGGAGGCTTAAATGTGCAGGGAAGCTCTTGAGAAATGAGGGCTGTGGCATCCCTAACTATTCCAGGTGATGCAACGAGCTGATGACGGAGCCCAGGCTGAAATTCTGGGGCCTCTGGTTCCTGCTCTGGTTTCCCAGCTCTCCGTCCCTGGCTTGTCCTCCTGGATTCCTGTGGCTTGTGTTTGCTGGTAGATCATGCTGGAAAATGACTTTGGAATGAGGGGACTGGAAGAGTTGGGAATTTTCTCCTCTTTTCTCCTCTTTTCACCCTCTTGGCTCTCAGAAGGACACTATGTTCTCCCCAGCATGCATTGGGCAGAAGCCAGAAGGAAGAAGTTGAGTCAAATACTTAATTCTGCATCTTTAGCCTCTGTTTTTCTGTGCCTCCACAGTTCCCTCGCAGATAAGAAGAGCAGCTCCTCTCCTACCATCCCTCAGAGAAGCCACTTCCTAGTCAGGAAAAAAAACCCCTCACGGGGGAAACCCTCTGTGACACCGAAACGCTCCTCGCCTCGCGGCCTCGTGCATGTCACCAAGCACCGGCTGTGCAGGCTGCCGCCTGCCCGGACACCGGGCTCCTCCAAGGAAGGTAGGAACAACTGTGCGACATCCCTGGATAGCGCCGTATTAAAGCCTCCCTTGCTCCTTCCTGTGGTTTTGCTTAACTTGCAGGTATTGGGTGGAAAAATACTTGAGAAGGGACTTAATGGGAAGATGCTGTAGACAGTAATAACATGTAACGCTGGGTGATCTCTTTGCACAAGGGAAAATCTTGTGTGGATCCAGAGTTGCTCCTCAGCAATTACAGCTCTACCTAATGCACCCAAATTCCAGCACAGTGTCTGCAGGAGTCTAGTTTTTATATGAGACTGGGTTAAAATTGAAATTGCTGGAGGAATGTAGGCTGCTGAGTGGTCTCTGAGCCTAAATCAATCGGTGTTTGCTCATGGATTGTAGGTATTTGGACGTGTAGCGCTGTGTTAACATGGGTTCAGGCATTGCTGCATCTTGAAAAAATCAAGGCCTGTAGTTCAGGAAAGGGGAAAGGCTTGGGGGAGAAGAGGAGAAAAAGCCAAATCCCTCCTCAAACATGTGCATCAAGAAAAAAATAAAGGGATGGAGAAGATGCTCTCAAGAGAACTTCAGATCATGTGTGATGGGAGGCAGAATAAGATACATAGGAGAGGCAGAAAGAGAATAAGGTTGTATTTAGCTCTGCTGTAACACCACTGGTCTGGTGTTCTGGCAATCCCCTTGCTCTGGGGCTGAAGCTTATTAAATTTAGGGATGTCAGCAAATACTTTGTTGTCTGGAGGGTCACAAACACTGCAGCTCCAGCACATTTGCACCAAAAGTATCCATGTGTTGCACGAAGGCAGCATGTACAGTCAGAGATATGTGGTCCCTGCACTGCGATTGCTCTTCTGTGTTGCCTAAAATGAGAGATGGCAGGTACAGTGCGTGGCTGGATCCAGCTCTGGTGCAGAATTAGCTCCAGGAAGTCACCTGGAGTGTTGCAGCTGTGTTTGAAGCGGGGATGCAGCCCTTTGGCCTTCCAGGAAATGTCCCCTGTCCCTTCTGGGATGAATTTAGGACCTGGACCCCCATAACTGCTTTCTGGGGACCTTTCTTCAGTGTATGTCTCCAGAGACACTGAGTAAATCTTTATGCTGCAAAGCTCCTGGTCAGGGCTTGGAAAACATTTTCCTGGCTTTGCTATGGTGAGATTTACGGACCAGAAGTGTTGGAGCTGCTATTTCTGGCTGCGCTGTCTTAATTCTGTCTCCTTAACCCCAGCTTTCCCTAGGGAATGTCCCCAGGTTTCGTGGTTTCTTCCTGGATATGCGAACCCTGCAACAGGGTCCTCTGATCAGAGCAGGGATCAGGCAGCTTCCGGGTTTCCTCATAACCTTTTGTGGCCCAGGGATGGCTGTAGACCTCGCTCTGTTTCTCACCTTCATATTTTTAGGGTTTTATCTGGGCAGAATAGAGCTCAACTTGAGACTTTGGGAGTTACAGTTGTGTATTCAGTGTCTTTTTTTTTTTCCAGAAGTAAAACTTTGTAAAAGTTAAAAAATATGGGAAGTGGATTAAAATCTACCTTCCTGGGAGCCTGATTGGCAGCTGCCAAAACCCCTGGTGTTTCTGGGAATGTATTTGGATTCCTTGATGGAAGGAAATGTTCCTGTAAAGAAAAGGTTTGGGATCTTAAACCAGGTAGGACTGAAAATAGCTGGACAGGGCAGCTACCTGGTTGTGCTGCCAACCTTGATCCAAGCAGCAGAAGGCAAATAAAGAAGCCTGGAGTGGGGAATTGTCCGCATTGACATGCTTGGATTGGAAGCTTGGTTCACAGGTGTGGAAACGAGTCTCTGCTTTCAGGGAACTTGCTTGAAATCTTGCAAGGGTCTTTTATTTCTTGCAAACTTCAGTCACCTTTCCCAAAAAAAGAATCTTGTTGCAGTTTGCAGAGGGCCAAAAGCAGAAGGAAATGCCCTGCTTTCCTTCCCTGGGTTGTGCACGTGAGATGTGCCCCACTTTGCTAGCGGGCAGGCAGACGCTGCTGTTTTAGAAGGTGATTTAAAAACGATTCCCGTCTTTCTCCCCACTGTAATCATAGAATGCCTTCTAAATTTCTTTCCTACTTTCTATAACTCTTCCCTACCATGTCTACAAGCCATCCCCTTGCTGCTAAAAAATCAAGTGCTAAAGAGGAGTATTGTCCATGTGTTAAATTCTGGGGTTGCTGGTTATCCAGCCTCTGTGGTACCTTTGTCTTGGGAGGTCCCAAAGGACCTTGTGGGGGTCCCAAAGGATGTGCCAAGGGGCCTGTCTCCTGACACCAGCATCTCTGAACATAAAGGAGGCTGTTGCAGAGTGACGCATGTGGGAAAGGTCAACAAGAGCCTTGAGGGCTTCGAAAGTGTGAAGTGGATTTTGGTGCTGGGCTTTTTTTTCAAGCTGATTTGTCACTCCTGACTGTTTCCCTGGAGCCAGGGGGTTTCTGTGAGCAGATGTGTTTTAGTTTGCCCTGGAATGGGCTGGGCATATGCAGGCTTGGTAGTGAGCTTGGCAGAGAGCTGCGGTGGTCGGTGCACCCAAGATCGTGTGGACAGAAAGTGATTTCTACATTCGGGTTCAGGTTGCGCTCAGGTTCTTGTCCTGGAGGACAAGAGGAGTAGGAGGCAGGGAGGTAGCTGGGGAACCAGGATGTTCCTAGGAGCCTTTGGGAGCAGGAGGAGTGTGGAGAGAAGCACCACAGTGGTGCTTGCCCAGTGAAAGGCATCCCGGAGTACTTGGCACGGGCTCTGCGATACATCCTGGAGGTGGGAGCAAAGACAGAACCTCCTTCGGAGACCTTGGGTGATCGTCACAAAGTGTGGACATGGAAAAACTGGGGACATCGAGTTGTAACGTGGTCTCATGTTGGTGGCTTCTGATGATCGGCCTTTGGAGGCCATCTCGGAGCATTCAAAGGACTTTTTCACCCTTTTCAGCGCAAAATAGAACTTAGAGATGTAAATCTGTTCAGAAAACAAATGTCTGCTTGAACCAGAGTCAAGATGACGAAGTTGTTGGAATTCCTCCATTTGAACTGTCTTCTGAGTGTCTCTGAGGTGTCTGCTTCATTTTGCACCTGAACTCTTTTGCTTCAGGCTTCTGTCTCTAAGTACCAGACTTCGTACAGATGTGTATATATGAATTACTCTGTATATGTAGCAGATCAGGACGTCTCCCCTGCCCTTTGTGTAGACAAGATGCTTTGGCCTGGAATTGGGGATCTGGTGTAAGAAGGAGAAACCTTCTTATCCACAGTAAAGCCTAAGTGGGCCAAAATCTTGCTGTTTGAGCCCAATTCTGGGCCTGCCGGTGGCACCATCTTGTACAAAAATGACATGTCCAAAAGACTCAAGGCCAAGGATCAACATGGGCCTCCTGCTCGGTTGTGACTTGAGTGACTTGATGACAGTGGTCGTAGTTGTGTTGTCCCAGTGACAAATGTCCATCCTGGAGCATCTTTCCTCTGCTCCCGTTGTCACAGCAAATTATAATTACAGTATCCTGGCCCTTTTTGGGGGGGTTTTGGGACTGTCCTGGTGCCCTGCAGAGGGCACTCTTGGCCCTCGCATCTCCCCAGCGCCCCGTCCACCTTTTTCCTGTTATTGATGGCCTAATTTCGTCTTTATGTGAAAGAAAGCAGATATCAAGTAATTTGCAGCAATAACCTGCTAATGCTGGGCCGGTATCAAAACTCCCATGTTCATTTCGAGTGGCAGATAAAACACTAATATATAATTATCCTTGCAAATTGGATTGTTTTAAATAACCAAAAGGCTATGGCCAGGAGAAAACTATCCCATTTCCCTTGAGTTACTATTGCGGTGTAATTGCTGCGTTCAATCAATTTTCTTGGCATTAGAAATTCCATCACAATCAACATTAAGCTTTATTCATTGTGATGGCTAAGAGCCGGGCCATTTCTCCTCTTTTCCTTAACTGGCAAAATTAATCAGGGAAAAGATTTTAAACATTTACCCGTGCGAAAGAGGTCAGTGCTGCCACTATATTGCTCAGCAGATAAGGGGGCTAATAAAAAGAAAATTGAATTACTAATGATCGCCAGGAACAGAGTATATAAAACCTGGCAATCGCCCGGTTCAGGGGGAGAGAGGAGGAGAGGGGGGGAAAAAAAAAAAGGGAAAATCAATTTTCTCCGGACAAGGTGCGCTCATTTTTTATTTTGGCGCATATTATCAGCAATTTAATTTGAGAGAGCATAAACAGGAGGAAACGGTTAGCAAATAATGAGCCCGAAGGTGTAAAATGCTGCAGGATAGATGCTGTACACAATTTATTTGGCACAACAGATAATCGCTTTAATTGAATTCAAAACTGCAGCGTTCAGCAGCGGCGCCCGCGGGGGATTTGCGGAATATTGCAAAGATGCTGGTGAGAGTCTCCGTTGTGGCTCTTTTCCCCTCCCTAATGTCCCCTTCCAGGCAGGACTTCTCGGCAGCCAGCTCGCGGACACGGCTGGCTGCGAGTGGAGCATTTGCGGAGCGTTTGCGGAGCGAGCGCTTTCTCCAGGGACCTTCCCTTACGGTGGCGATGCTGCGTCCGTGCCTTAAATAACAGTGTGTTTTGCCTGCGTTGAGGAATTTTTTGTGCATCTGCAAGATGGTCCTGTGGCCTGGGACAGTCCCCTGGGCACCATGGGGATGTCCAGACCTCCCAAATATTGCGAGATGGAGACTCGTTTCTCCATCTGTGCGGAAAGAGCCCGACTTTTAACCTATCTCTTTTGATTGTGGTGGGAGTGGAAGGAAAATTTCCCAGTCTGGAATAGCTTATATCCCACTTATATTACATAAACCATATTTCGTTTATCGGCCAAATAAGTGAAGACTCGCACTTGGCAGCTCTGTGGCCCCAGTGAGAGCAGATCCTTTGCACCCCTTACGTGCCCTGCTGAGAGGCTGCCTCGTGTCTTTCCCCAAATACTGTGTCCTTGCTTCTATCTTTGCTTTCCTCCTGCTCCAGATTCAGAAAAGGCACCAGGTCGTGTCACCAGCTTCCTCTGTCCTCTGT